CTTCATAATTACCAAAATGTCACCGCGTTTTTCACTTAAAATTTGATCTCTTCCATCCATTTTTTCACATCAATGGCCAAGATTATATATATATATATATATATATATATATATATATATATATATATATAAGTGGTCTTCCCGTGCAAAGTGCGAAATTTGCACTTTTTCATGTTTCGTTTGCACGTTTTCTTGTTTTCGTTGCACTTTTTTCGTGGTAGCGAAAACAATTGGGTTATTTACAAAACTACCACTGTCATTTTGTCCAAATTTGACCAAAATCGAAATGGTGCAAAAGTGCAACAGAAATAAGCAAAAGTGCAAGCGAAACATGCAAAAGTGAAAAATACATACACACACACACATACAAACACACCCACTTTATATTTATTTTCACTCTTCATTTTAAGATATATATATATATATATATATATATATATATAACTAATTTAGACATGAAAAATACATATTCAACATGTATCATTTTAACTTTTACACATTTCATACATTCATTATTACAAAGTTAGCTAATAATATGACATATTTGTATTTGTTAAGTTTGACGATAACAATAGCAGATTGCATTTATATATTTTGCATGATTTGTTTGAATAAAATTGTGAATGTTACAACATTATTTGTACCACCGACTCCTTTAGTTTTTTTTGAATATTTTATGTGATACTTCGTATTATAAATGTTAATAAACTATAATCTTATTTTTTGTGAGAAGTGAATCTTTTTCTAGTGGTCAAAATGATGTTAAAAGTTTTAATTTATAATTTTTTATTGTTTATTTTTCTATTGTTTATTTCCTTTTACATTTTACTTTCATTTTCTAATTCTAAAATATAAGAACTTGATCAAATAAAATCATAATAAACATAAGAAAACGAATCAAATCGAACTAAATTAAACCTAATAATTTTTACTATGGTAAACCGAAATTCAAAGAACCGAAACCGAACCGAAATCAAACCGAAACATAAATGGTTTTAGTTTGATACAAATTCTCTCAATCCGAATAAATCGAAGCCGAACCAAAACCTTAGAAAATCGAAACTTAAAACGATTTGCCCACCCCTACGCAATAGTCACGCTCGGACATGATAAAAAAACGGATTGAGATCCTCTACCCGACTAGGAGGGTGTCTTGCGCATCGGACGGAAGGGGAGCTGCCAACACAGCCTCGAGATTGGCAAAAAAGTGGAGCCCAAGATCTCTGACCGTTGAATTGTCAATCGGATGATCGGGAGGAAGCAAGGCACTCTACCTTACTCTAAAGTAAGGTAGAGCCCGTTTGGAGAACTCTGTTTTCGGCTTATCAGGCTTATCAGCCAGCTTTTTCACCAAACACGTAACTTTTACTTTCGCGCGCTGAATTGTGTAATAAGCCGAAAAAGTAAGGTTGGAGTTACTTTTCTGGCTGTATTGGCTGAAGTTACTGTAGAGGACCATTTTAGCTATTTTTACATATAATTTTTTCTTTAATTTATTAATAAAATATATTTTTAAAATATTTTTTTCTTAAATCAGCAGAATCAGCCAAAACAGCCACTCCAGCCAGAATATCATAAATTTCAGCAGAATCAGCCAAAACAGCCGATTTTGGTGCTACCAAACGGGCTCGTAATTTACTTTTATCATCACGCATTTTTTTTGGTAATGATCACCATGATTACTTTGTGTATGGAGTATGCACGACAAAGCGATCATTTAGTCTTTTAATGTTGGGTTGACCACAAGTTGGAATAGGATTGCTATTTTAATGTGGCAAGTCACAATTTGAATTGAATAACGACAGGACACGGATACAATGAAGGATTGCTTAGGGAATATACTTTTTAATTTTCTTTTTATTCTAAAATGAAGTATTCACTATTTACTGCTTGTAATCCTTGTATTATTATCCATTTTGAGTAGTACTTTGTACATCACATCCAATTTTGTCGTTGTTGCATATATTCAATTTATTTTTCATAACTAAAGTAAGAGTCGACACTTTTTCCTTAGGAATGTTTTTAATTAAATTGTATTTTTAATCCAGTTTGATATGTTTACATCCAGCTGGTATGGTCACATCAATTTAAGTTAACTATAGTATGATCTGATTTATAATGGTCTGTTATATTTAAGTTTGAACGCTTAAGTTTAGTCTAGCCTATTTAAATCCAGTATATATGATATGACTTGATCTATACTATTCTGATCCGTCGAGTGGATATATGTATTTCTGTATTTTTACTCTCAAAATCTGATTGATCTAGTCTAGTATGGTCTGATATGATCTGAGATGGAATTAGTCCAATTAAAAACATTCTGACATATAAATCAATAATATAATATTACAAATATAACCACAAATTCTATCGAACTATCAAATGCCAAAATCGAAGATAATAAACAGGTATCACGAAATCAAATTATAATAAACATTTAAAAAGGGAATCAAAGAATAAAAAGAACTCACCGTGACAAATACGAAGTATTACAAAGATCAATTGTAAAATAACAAAGCCAATAATTAAGCCGAGGAGACTATAACAAAGCTATAACCTAATCTACTCTTACGACAGTATTTTTTTGAAAAATTGTCTGGTTATACCTTTTTACGATGTATTGTTTTAGCCTTAATTTTAATTCTTATAGTCAATAATTTAATGACCTGACAATAATGATTTTCTTACTTGGACTTATTTCAGTTTCATAGACAATTTCAAAAAAATTCATTTCAAATAAATACAAGAGTTAATTATCAAAATAGGACTAAAAGTCATTCACTTTGCACAAATAGGACCAAAAAATAAACTATGTTTCCACAGGACTAATTATGTTTGTCTTGGACAAATATACCCTTATACCTATTGGAATGTTTTAATTCATAATAAAATAATAAAAAATAATAAAAATTCGTAAAATATACCAAAAAATTAATAAAAATATTTTGAATAATAATAAATTTTAAAAAAAAAAATTCAAAAAAAATAAAAAATAAAAAAAAATTAAAAAAAATTAAAAAAAAAATCAAAAAAATATTTTTTTTGTCACCGCCGCCTATACCGCCCCAGCACCACCACCTCTAGTCATTTGGGGAAAAAATGCCAAATTTATTATGAATTCCATATTTTTGGCATAATTCAGAATGATTTAAGATGGAAGAAAAAAAATGTTGGCATTCTCAAAGAGAAATATGCCATATTTTTGGCATTTTCCGAAAAAAATGGAAGTTTGTAGGAAATATGACATTTTTTTTAACGGTCAGAGGTGGTGGTGCAGGGAGGCGGTACCACCACCTCCTGTCACCGGGGTAAAAAAATGCCAAAAAAATTATGAATGCCATATTTTTGGCAAAAGTCAAAAGGATTCAAGTTGGCAGAATGAAAATGTTGGCATTCTCATAGAGAAATATGCCATTTTTGTGGAATTTAAAAAAAAAAGTGGCATTTTTTACACCGATCGGAGGTGGTGGTTCATTGAGGTAGTACAGGCGGTGGGAAACATATCCATATTTTTTTTAATTTTTTTTATGGAGTTTTACTATTTTTTTATTAATTTTTAAAATAAAAAAAAAATTAAAAAAAAAATTTTTTCTTATTTTTTATTTTATAAAAATTTTATTAATTTTTTTATTATTTTTCTACGAATTATTGAAATTTTTTCGAATTTATTATGAATTAAACATTTAATTATGACTTTTAGCTATCTTTTACTAATATTTAAAGGAGGGGTAAGAATGGAAGGAAGAAATGAGTATGTTTCCAATAGGACCACTATGGTCCTATTTTGGAAAAAAAACATAACAAGTCCTATTTTGAGTTTTTGCCATAGTTTTAGTCCTATTTGAAGTAATTTCTATAAATACAATGATAAAATTACCGGCGGGTTGTATGTCTATATTACGATAGGCTATGGATTTTTTGTTATGTTTTGAATGGTATGGGCTATGGATTATTTTCACAAAACTAATCACGGTGGTGACATGACATTTATAAAGGATTTTTTGTTATGTTTTGAATGGTAGGGGCTATGACTCCTATGAGACCTTTATCCATGAATATTTCTCCTCAAAAAAGGATTCTGTGACTACTTCACTCATTGTCTGCTCGTGACTGTAAATTTTAAATATGCTATAGGGATTGTTTTCTAGTTATTCACATATACTAACTAATCATATTCTTGTTGGTGAAAACTATGGTATACATTTCAAAAAAACTTTAAATATGCTTTTAGTCCCCACAAATATAGTACATCTTGTTTTAGGTCCCAGCAAAATATTTGCATCCTTGAAATTTATGTTGATTTTCTTTTTAATCCATGACTAATGATAACAACCTCCGCTTGACAACGAAACAATCCCGACTAAAAGGTATCCTTTAATTCTTTGTCATGTCATTCAAAAAGAATTTAATTTCAATTTTTTGAGGGTTTTTAATACATACTCCCTCCGTCCCATTGGACTTTGCAAACTTTCCTTTTTTGATTGTCCTAAAAAACTTTGTCACTTTCTCATTAAAGCAACTAATTTGTGGTTCTGCACATTTCTCTCTCCTCTGCACAAATCTCAACCACACAGTTTTTACTATTCTTATTTCTCACATACTTTGCACTTGACAAAGTCTAACGGGACAGAGGTAGTATTTTAAAAATGCGAATAATTAGTTTTAATATTGTTATAACTCTCTTATTAGCATCAAAAAATTATAAACTGATAAATTTAAATGTTTCTAGTAGATTTATGTAACCAAGAATAGAAAAAATTCATAGTCGAGTTGTTTCGGAGTTAGAGATAAACTAAAACTAAAATAGTGCATATTACTTGAATGAAAAACAAAGAAAATATTTTGCAGGGACCTAAAACAAAGTGTTTCATATTGGCAGGGACTAAAACCATATTTAAACCTTTCAAAAATGATACATACCCATTTCAAATTATTAATTATATCATGTTTAATTCAAATTTAAATAATTTGAGTGCACCATTTTTGTATGGTGAAAATACCTGAAACGTATCCTCTTGAGATCATTGCCGCCACGTGGCAGGGAAACGAAGGTGATTAAAACGCCGGGTTCCACCTGCGCCACCCACTCCTTGGGCTCCTTCTCCTCCACGAGCACCACAGGGTCAGCTCGCCGGCCACTTGCCGACGCCGATATAGACGTCGGCGTCACCTCTCCGCTCGATATGCCCTTCAGCCTGGCCTCCAATTCCTTTCTTCCCGACGTTGAGTTAGAGCTGAAGCTTCCCGTCCGCCGGTACGACCACCGGAACTTGTCCGGCGCGGCCAGGTCCGCCGCACCATTCCCGCTCGCGTTCTGACTCAAAGTCGGCTGACTTGTACACGAATTACAGTTCTTATACGCCCCTGACGCCTTGAGAGCCATATCCTTTATCTACATAACAAAACAAAAATTGACCACCTAGCTAGCTAATAGTTCGATCATTATTATTACGCTGTTAGACGATATCGACATAGCGTGGAAGGGGGCCGGTCTCGATCCTGAAACTTACGCCCAGAACTTAACCATATGTATAGGGCTAGATTTTCACCTGAGAAGTAAGATTCTTAACGGATTGTTTGCTTTGTGGTGCGGCATTTGGATTTGATTTTTCCGAATCCGCAGTGGATTGCTTTGAACGAGGAATGCATGTAAGCATTGTGTGTGTGTGTTTATATTTGTGTGTTATGTACGCATATTCAAAAATGATTTTTCTTTAAACCATAAACACTACAGTGCACTCGATCATACTTGTAAATGATCGATACACAGGAACAGCTAGATGGAGATCGATGAAACGAATTCGGCGTGATAAGGTATTTGTTTGGGAAGAAGAAATTAAAGGAGATAATTCTGTGGAGACTTTGGACCTGAAATTTGAAATGGGAAAGGTGAATGTAATGAAATGGGAAAGGTGAAGGTAATGGTTGAATTGGTGTGATTATGTTTGCTGTCCAGCACTTCACAAGCTTTCTTTATTTTACTTTATTTATACTAGTAGGTATATTCTTGTTGTACAAACTCTTATACCCACCATGTTTGTCAAGGTTTTTCTTTTGTCTGTGAATCCGATTCACAGACAAAGTAATTTGCACAACATATTTTATCTGTGAACGGGATTCACAGTAAAAAAAAACTTTGCACAAACATGATGGATATAAAGGTGACCTGGGTACAAACAACTTTTCTGTATCAGGAAACAACGTTTTTCCTTATTCCTACTAATATACTACGCAGTATATACTCTCTCTTTTAATCAATTAATTGATGAATCGGATTGAGTTAACGGATTCTAAAAAGTGAATTGAGTTAACAGGTTTGACCGGCAGATTAGTTTGGCGAGTTACAGAAAGATGTTTGGTAACTTAACTGTTTGGATCTACCGGACACGTCAACAACCCGCCGTACAATACGAATAGTCAACCGCAGTCCAACTCATCCATATTATACTAGGCGTCTTGAATACCATTCACACATAGCACATCCATAAACAAACTGTTGGAAATATGCCCTAGGACAATCATAGTTTATGATTTATCAATAAATATTTAATGCTCATTAATTAATAAAGTCACAAACTCATTTTATGTTAATTATTATTGTGAGTTTTCTTTATTAATATTTAGTCCCTGAATATTATGTTTAGTAGCTAATTAAGTATGTGACTTAATTGTGGAATGCTACACTTTAAAATAAGCATAATATTCTAATTGTCCCTGGTCTAATATTATTAATTTGGGACATTAATAATTAATAGACCTGAATGTGGATTAACTGATGACTATATTTCACTACTCATGGGTATAGAGATATCAAGTTAATAACATAGATGCTTGTTAGGGAAAAAGTTCATTGGACAAACCCAACTTGAGGACACTGCTAGGTTATATGTCATCAGTGTTGTCCTTAATAATGATGAGGTGCTATATTCTTATATTTGAGATAATCATGGTTACTTGCATGGGAATTAATATGTATTAACATCATTAAATACTATCTTTAAATAGATAATTATAAAGGTGGTGATTGTACATATTATGAACCATGTAGTGGTATGTGAATTATCAAGATAGTTTTTGTCACTCTTGTATAGCGAGAGAAAGATATTGTTGAGGTTTATTCCTTCAACCCTCGGTCCAACACATAAGCCCAAGGATTTCGAGTGGATTGTTTAAGAGTGGGTGATTAACTAGTCCAGCAACAAGTAAGATGGGTTAAGGGAACAATGAATGAGTAAAGGACCGGATATTATTAATGATGAATAACGCCCCGGTACAATTACACTTGCTAAGGTCGAATGCCGTTCGTCTTACCCTGCAGTAGAAGATCTGTGAGTAATAAGGTAATAAGCTAGAGTGCTAAGAATAGTAAGTTGTCAACCCTTTACAATGAAATAAATGCTGCAATATATCCCAGAGTTAGTGGATAATATTGATAATGAAAGGCTTATGCTTCTCCCTGTTGCAGAAGAAGTTAAGAATGCAGTTTGGGATATGGATAAAAACAGTGCACCTGGCCCTGATGGTTATAATGGAGTCTTCTTTAGACATTGTTGGGATATTGTGGGTCAAGATGTTGTCAGAGCGGTTCAAGATTTTTTTCAAGGAAATGTTATTCCTACAGCTACGGCCAGTTCCCTCATAGTCCTTATTCCAAAGAAAGACAAGATATCTACCTTTTCAGAATTTAGACCTATCAGTCTTTCCAACTTTGTGAGTAAGGTATGTACAAAAGTATTAGCTTCCAGGCTTATCAATATTCTGCCTAAACTAATTTCAGATGAGCAAGCAGGCTTTATGAAGGGAAGGGATATTTCTGATCATATTCTGGTTGCTCAGGAAATGATCAATTCCATTGACAGAAAGGTCAGGGGTACCAATGTTGTGGTTAAATTGGACATGGCAAAAGCTTTTGATAGACTGGCCTGGACTTTCTTAGAAGCAGTGTTGTCTAAGTTTGGATTTTCTAATTGTTTTATCAATTTAATATTGAATCATTTAAGGGCTACTCATTTTTCAGTTCTCATAAATGGTTCACCTAAAGGCTTTTTTCAACCCCATAGAGGAGTAAAGCAGGGAGATCCCCTCTCTCCTTTCCTCTTCATTCTTGCTACTGAAGCTCTATCTAGAGGCTTAAAATGCATGGTTGCTGAAAATAAAATGAAACCCTACTGGATTGGTCCTGTGGGACAATCAGTTACTCATCTTTGCTTTGCTGATGATATCCTTGTCTTTCTTAATGGGGAAGCTAGATCTATTCAGAATTTTAAGAGTTTTTTGGGTCTCTACCAAAAGGCTTCAGGTCAGGCCATTAATTTTGATAAAAGCAGTTTTGGATGTGGTAAAACTTCCCTGGCTCGAATCAGGAACTTGGAGAGGCTCTTGGGCATGACTAAACTCAGTTTTCCCATGAAGTATCTAGGAGCTTCCCTGCATAAAGGAATCAATAGGAAAAATTACTGTAATGGTATTCATCAAAGCTTTGATAAAAAGTTGTCAACATGGAAGCAGAAAATTTAAGCTTTGGAGGGAGACTAGTGCTTATTAAACATGTTCTTAACACCATCCCTTTGCATATATTGGCTGTGGATACCTTGCCTAAGGCTTGAAATCCCTTGTACTACCAGATATACTCCAATTAGGCAGATGTTCATTGCCTGGTGGCTTGAAGCAGGGAATAAGAACTTAACTGATATTTTCAAGCACAATATGGCAGGCATTATTTCTTGGCACATCTGGAAAAATTATTGTCGGATTACCTGGGGAGGGGCGAATGATATCCCGAATTGGCAGACTATTATTGGCCAGATTAAAGCTTTCGTGCAGGTCTGGTCTGATATTCAGCTCACTAATGTTAAAATTGGAAAGCCTAGTTCTTTTCTTTTTAAAGAAAGACTTCTGGCTACATCTTTTAAAACTAAGAAACTGCAGCTTCGAGCTTTGAAATGGAGATTACCTCAGATGGACTTCAAATTGAACGTCGATGCCTTTTTCAGACCTGGTCGGGCAGCTGGTGGAGCGGTGATACGTTCTAGGCTCGGTGAGCTCGCGGTGGCTCTCCACTTCCCGGTTCCTGCAAGCTCTGCAATGGAGGCGGAATTTCAAGCGGTGCACTATTCTGTTCATTGGGTGATTACAAATGGCTACCATAATCTGGAGGTTGAATCGGATTCAAGGATGGTAGTGGAAGAAATTTTGGGAGGAGGTCTGGATGGAAGATGGAAGTTGATGGTTTCGGACCTTAGAAGATGGATGGTTGGTTCGGATATCAACTTCAGACATATTCTACGAGATAGTAATTGGACTGCTCATTCTATTTCTAAACTTAATTTGGATAATATGGTTATTTTTGACAATTTCCGACAGCTGCCAGGTCATATTCGTCGAACGATTATTACTGATAAGCTTGGTTTAAGTTATTTTAGAATTTATTGATTTTCGTTGATTTATTGGGTAAGGTTTGGTCCCCCCAATTTCTTTGCCTCTGTTTCTTAGAGGGGTTTTGGCATAGTCCCCCCCTCTTTTGTTTGAATCTTTCATATAGTTTAATAAAACTCGGTAAATGTCCCCCGACATTTACCCCACTGATTTTGGTGGTTGACCTTCCGGGGTAGAAAAAAAAATAGCACCAATGGGCAGTTGGCCATGCTGATGTGGAGAGTTATGGATGGCTGATGTTCCAACCACCAAATCTTCAGCATTAAATGCGCTTCCCGCCAGAATCTGGGTTTCCCGCCTAATTCGTGGGGACGAACGTCCCTCTGGCTTGGGGCCTGCTCCTGATGACCCTCGCAAGGGTTATGGGCCGTCCGTATCCTGGCCCTTGGGAGAATTCACCATATAGATTGGATTAGCCATCGTGCAGTTATGGGCCTTTGGTGGAGACGTTCGTCTCCGTGGCCTTTGTATGTCGGCGTGGTCTACCGTTGCCCTGGCTGGACGCCCGTCGGGGTGGGTTGCCTTGTTGGACGGGACGTTCGTCTGAATGAGGGGGTAAATGGGGTGATCCTCTATTTGGGCCATTAACCCAACACAAGCCCCCCACTTCTGATGTTCCAAACGTGCATGGGACATAAGGAAGTATAACCGTTTTTTGGGTGAGACGTTCCTGACGTGAGGCTACACTCGCCGAGGTTTTGGAGGTGGACGTATCTAACCGTGGTGCTACTTGGTTGGCGACGGTTCAGGAATCGAGGTGACGGCTGCCGCAGAAACGGTGCGTTTCCCGAGGAAGGGTCATCATTACGCCCGTTACTCCACGCGCGACACGCAACCCAGGGTACGCTCCTCGCCACGCGTCACCTCCTTATTGGTTTTACGGGACGGCGTTTCCCTTATTACCATAATTTCCCAGATGCTTAGGGTTTCCGATTTTCTTCTCGCTCTAGAATCTCCGCCGTTCTGCAATTAGCTCGTTAGTTGACAAGGTCCTTAACTCGTTTCTGCTGTTCCCGAGGTAATTTTAGTTTTATTTTCCCTTTTTGTAACCTCTTCTGGTCCTGTAATGACTTTAATGGAGATTTCGTCGAGTTCTAGTTCGGGCTCTTCTTCCGGCTTCGGCTCCTCTTCTGGCTCTGAGTCCGGTTCTCACTCCTCCGGGGACACCAGTGTATCTGGCCGTTCTGGCTCTCCACCCATTGTAGGGACAGTTGCTCGGGAAGATGCCCCTTGTTCCCCCACTTCTACCAATGCCACATCAGCCAGCGCGGGTTAGGATGATGCTACCTTTGAGGGAGATGGGGGTGACATTGCCCAAGGATGAGGGGAACCAATGGTTGTTGATGCGGGCCGGGGACGAACGTAGCCCTTCATGATGAACGTCCAGAGGGCTACAACTCAGGTAATGAAGCTGGGGATGGATCCAACGTGGAGGTGTTTGATCTGGGCCTCACAGTCGATGTGGAGCGTCATATTTGCCCCATCAAGAACGTCCTTGTCCATGAACAATTTTTCTCAGATCAAGCCCTTAAGGAGCTCAGTATCTACTTGCCCCCTCCGTTCGTCTACAGCCTTCGCGGTGCAAGCCATGTGATGAGGAGACGTCCGGGGATGATCATGGTGCGCTCTGACTCTATCAGACCAGGGCTGCGATTCCCACTTCACCCTTTTTATGTCGAATTTTTTAGCTGCTTCCAAGTTGCTCCCACGGAGTTCATGCCCAACTGTTACCGCTTTATCTCGTCATTCCTCTTCCGCTGTAAGGCCATGGGAGTGACAGCGAGCCTGGAGTTATTTCATTATTTCTTCCGGCTCAACCCCCAGAATTTCGACGGCTTTTTGAGTATAGCCTGTTGGTCCCGGTTATCAAGGTAACAGTCTAGAGGGGGGGTGAATAGACTGTTATGGTTTTTAACTTTTTCAAGCTAAGTACCAAGGTTAACAGAATAGCCTGTTCTGTTGGGAACAGATTGGCAGCGGAGGTATTCTGGTAGGGGTTCTGTCGGGATAGTCTCACAGAGATGCAAAGGCACTAGGCCTTCTGTTAACTCTTAAGAGGTGTTCTGCTGAACACAGATACCACTTCTTCGGAGTTAATCAGTTTGAATTTAAAAGATGATGGTCCCGGATAGAGGCAAAAGTCTAGCGGGGGGGGGGGGGGGGTGAATAGACTTTTAAAGCTTTTTCGGTTTTAAGAACTCTTCCCTTCTAGATGAGTTGATCTATAATCTTTTGGGAGATTAATAGATGCACAGCGGAAGTCTTTAACCTCTTGATTATCAGTATGAGACAACTTTCTAGTTTGAGTGATGTTAGGACTGTTTATGGATAGGCAGTAGGCTTGGCAGTTGGCTGGTGGGTAGGCTACTGCTGAGGCAACTGCTGGGTTGGCAGTTGGCTGGAAGACAGAGGACTGCTAAGGCAACTTCTGATAAACAGGATGACTTATGGAATATTTTCAACAGGCTTTTTGTTTTGGCTATTGTAATCATTCAAAGGAAGTAAATATGTATGAGCAGTGGGCTCAGCAGGTGGGTGAAGACCAGAGTACTGCTGAGACACCTTCTAAACTTTGAGAGATTCTCGTGGAAAGACTGTCTCAAGGAGAGTGAGTAATTAAGCAGTAGGATAAGCAGTAGGGTCAGTTAAGACTACTGCTTAGGATGCTGCTGGCAAACTACAATCCTTTTGTGAGAAGTGTTTGGTGTGTGTTTTGTTAATTTGAAAGAAAATCAACACACGATATATCCTGGTTCAGAGGTGGTGTAATCCTCCTACATCCAGTCCCACCCTATTTCAGATGGATTTCCACTAAAGTATTAAGCCCAATACACTTAGTGCCAATCTAGCCTTTACAACACTCAGGCCTAGATTTGAAGGTTTTTCACAATGAGTATAACACCACTCAAAGTTACTCAGTCCTTAGACTTTTCTCAAATGATCCAGTGGGGATCAAAAGGTACTCTATCTATCTAACCACACTTTAGGATCCGAACAACTGTTCTCCTAAGTGTTTACAACCACTTGTAAAATTCAAGGAATTTCTGGCCTCCAACTAAAATCTAAGCTCTAAAAATATAGCAATGTATGATCTAGTCTAAGAGCTTAGTGAAGCATGAGTCAAAGCAGAGAGTGAAGTTGTGTTCAAACACTTTCTCTTTTGCTGGATATTCTTTGTGTGATTATAGAATCTCTTTGCTTTAAACTCAATAACTTGGTTTTAGAACTGTTGGTCCCGTTTAAGTTGGTAACAGTCTAGAGGGGGGGGGGGGGGTGAATAGACTGTTATAAGTTTTTCTGCTTTTCTCTAAGTCAGAGTTGACTTATCAGAGAGGGTCGAGTTCTGATGGTCAGAACTGGTCTTGCAGCGGATAAGAGTTCCGGGTAGCCTCAAGAATACTAAGGCAAATGCCTTTCTGATAACTCTAGAAACGAGATCTGCTGAACACAGATTCCAAGTCTCAGAGTTAGACAGTTAATATCCTAATTGCAGAAAGTAAATGCAGTAAAGTAAAAGACACCGAAGTTTTTATAGTGGTTCAAGGAACAACGTATTCCTCTAGTCCACTGTTCCACTAAGCTTGTAAAAGTCACAGATTACACAGCCTTAGTTCCCTAGCACTTAAGAAGCACTCCACGTCTTCTTCAAGTCTAGATGTCTCCTAGGATGCAGTTCCTTGCTTCCTCTAAGACAGGTCCGTTCACTGAGCTTCCCGGAAGTATCACCACTTCACTGCTCCAGTTAATTGGACGCCCTTCTTTGCAGAAGATGTTCTGAAAAACAGAGTTTTCTCCAACTTGCTTCGTTACAAAAGATATGTAGTTGAGGTTCTTGAAGATTAAAGAACATGATGAACTTTGCTCTTGGTTGGGTTTGAGAGATTTGATTATTTAATCTTCCCAACGTAAGCTTTTTCTTGTAGAAGATTGTAGAAGTTGAATCTCAAGAGAGCTTGTAGAGAGCAAAAGGTGTAGCAAAAGTTGTTCGGTTGTTCTTCATGAGTATCCTTTTATACAGAGGTTGTCTGCCCGTTGGAGGAGGAGACAACTGCATTAACTGCGCGTACTGTGGAGTTGACCGGTTGGACCCGCAGTTTTGGCAGGTTTCTATTTTTGTATAATATTCTCCAGGAATCTCGGTCAATCATCTGCAATTACTCCACAGCGTATCAGGCTCATTAAATGAGCATTGAATGCTTTCCTTAGATGAAATATCTTCTAACCGTTAGGGAATTTCCCGTTTGATATACGGCCGTTGAAAGCAGCTTCGAAATCTTCTAAGTGTCAATCCAGGTCTGATGAGATTCTCTGATGGCATTCTGACCTTGGATTCTGATGAACTTAGATAGGGAACTCTGATACTTTTCTGAAGCTGAATTCTGATGAACATTTTCATCAAATTCTGATGGTTCTCAGATGTAGACTTCTGATGAGTCTTTGAAGAGCAACTCTGATTCTTTTCTGATGAGCAACTCTTATGACTTCCCGAGAGCAACTCTGAAAGCAGTTCTCATAGAGCAGCTCTGATCAGATCCACATAGCAACTCTGATAGTTGATTATACTAATATTTACAACTGAAAATTCTAATACATAAAATCTAAGTAGGGGTACTCTAAAATCATAATCTAAATATCCTAGCATCATCAAAATCTAATTACATTTATTCCTTACAATTTCCCCCTTTTTGATGATGCCAAAACCCTTAAACTATTTCCAGAGAAGTGCCTTTCACCATGAAAGAAAATAAGAAAAAAAAACTTTCATTTAAAATCTTGGTGGGCAACTTTGCATAGGAGAATAGTAAGAGCACGATACAATCAATCAAGGCAAGTGAATAAGTACAAAAAACAGTAAAGAAAACAGAATATGAAAATGCCATCCAAATTAGAGGCAAGATGATTATCTTATTGATCAGAAATAGTACAAGAGTTACAAGAGATAGAGTGAGAGTTTAGAGATCTTCCTCATCTACCTGTACTCCTGCTTCATCAATTTTCTTTAGGGTTGCATTTACCTTAGCTCTGATATCAGCAAGGTTCCTGGGATTCTGACATTCAGACCACATTGGCTCAAGCTGGCAGTCCAGATAATATCTGATGGCATCTCTTTCATCCTTGCCAGGAATCACTCTCATCCGCCACCACTCTTCAGCTTCTGCAATAGAACCTCCATGAGCAATGGTTATGATACCATTCTCATCTTGGATCAGATTGGCTCTTTGCAGTGGGGTCATGTGCTTCTTCATTTCTGCGAACTGCACACTGTCTGGCTTAGACATCCCACTGTTCAGCCATTGAGAGAGAGTGAAGGAGGGAGTTTTCCTTTTCTTTTGTGAGCGAGGAGGAGGGGGTCTCTGAATTCCGGCAGCAATTTGCTTTTGTCTAGCTCTCTCAAAGTATGCTGCAGGATCAGCAGCGGGAGTGACTGTCAGAGCTCTGGAGTTTGGACCTTCTGCTACTCTGGTATCTTCCCCCTTTTTGGCATCAGCAAGATCACCAAGCAGGAGTCCAATCTTTGAGAATTCGGTGGCCTGATTCTCCTTTATGACTTCAAGGGCACTTGGCAGAGTCTGGGTTACAGAGGCCAGCCCTTCAATGATCTCCTTTTGTTTATCCACTG